TCTCACATATTGACTTTTTGGTTAACTAGTTCTCACAGAAACCTTCAGCTTGAGAACAATGACCAATTAAGGGAGTAAATGAACATTTTTGGTTTCTGAATAACGTGCAAACATAGAAAAGTTGCTTGAATGGAGTGTAGGTTTGTCGTTCATCCTAAAACCTGGTTAAGTTGTTGTGGCTTTTCATATATAATACAATTCCATCTTACCCAGATGTTTACTTGATCAACATGGCTGGTTGTTCAGAGACTAAAAAGGTCCTTGACTCATCCACAACCATTTTGTCTCTTGGGAAAGAAAGTTACATGTTAATGTGAAATTTGTCTCTGAGCTTAATTGGAATCTGTCTCATAGATCAAAATTATAGAAATGATAAAATATACATTTTTATTCACAGAAACTCTAACATACACATATTTGAAAATGCAAGCAGCTACAACTCTGCTTTTATTGTGAATTTAATGTAAACGAATTAACTGTAAATTAAATAGAGTCCCAGTAAAAGCATTTTTTCAAGCTTTTTGATAGAATGGAGATTGGTTAGTACTTTGTTTAGGTTGTTATATTGCTGTTTGAGTTCCCGTTGGGGAGATCAAGCCCCACGTCTTGCCGATATGTCCCCATTGTTACTGGAACAGAACATTCTCAGAAATTTCCATTCACTTCCTATCACGTTTGTGGAATATACTGTAAATGGAAAACTCATTCATCAAGACATTCAGCAACAAAACTGATAAAGGTTTCAACTTTTTTTATACCCTAGCCATCACTTTTTTCAACATCATCCAGAGTTCTACTTTAAGGCACGTATTCCAACTAGCAAAAACAAGTGTAAGAAAATATGTGTTGTGCATTTGCTGGGAATTGCCACTCCCATGTGTACTTTTAGCTTGTAATAAATTGATGAAAAAAAAGCCACTTTTTCTGCTTTGCTGAGTAGATTCAGGGCTCACCTACACTAGCGGAGCAAAGCACCATGATTAATAACACCTGATTGCAGCTTTGTGCAATAATGCACAGTTCATCACATCATGATTTCACAATGTAGCAATTGATTGTACCCAATCCTGCAGTAGTGCAACTGAACATCATTTGTGTAGCCAAGGTCTCAGGGGGTGAAAACTATATTCTTTTTATTTTTTAAAAGTATAGCAGGGAGTTGAACCCTTTGTCTGTTGTATTTCAAATGTTGATCTTCTCTATACCTGGCTATGGTTTCATAGATGTTATGCTAGAGAGCAAATCTATATTACATCTTTTAATTTCTTATATTAACATACAATGATATATAAAATATTTATGTAATAATGTTTTTTGATGATCACATATTTATTTATGGTCGCTAAGCATTAGCCATCTGATTTTGTGGTCTTTATGTGCTTAGCTAGCTGCAATAGTAGAGAAGAAAATACATTAACACATTAAATATATGCATTTTACAATAACAGTTTAAATTACAAAATTGACATTTACCTTTTTATTTATTGCATAGTTAAAAAAAAATAATAACACTGAGAAGCAGTTTTTAGAGTCTTCTCTTTGCAAAGCCTCACATGCCAGAAAAAGTAGCAAAGTACTAGTACATTTTCTTAAAACAAACTGGTTGAAACCCTGGAAAAAAATTTTCTAGCATCAGCTGCCACTTAAGCTGCTGCAAATGCTGATCATGTCAATCACATTCTACTGTCTCTGTCAATCACAATATTCTAGCTAAAAGGACAAGGTGAAGTTAAAGATTTTAAAATAACAACTCCTTTTTCCCTCATTGTACATTCAGTGAAGGCCACCAGATTTACAGCACTTGATTCTTTGTCCTCTTTTTAAATCTATTTCAGTCAAATTTCACATCACCACTTGAGTTACATTTTAAACTAAAATACAAAATATCTTTATGTGAAATAACAAGGCCAACGCCAGCCAAATCTTTTTTTTATAGACTTGGGAAGAGTACAAGATTCTAAAAAGTCCATCACCCCATTGGCCCTACTGGGGAGATTTAACCTCAGTAGTTGTTAGAGATTTAAGCCTTTCTTCATTTCAATGAAAAACTGTTTTGCTGAAGTCTGGGTCAATCTAAAAAATGGAAAATTATATCAAATATTTATCGTAAATTTCCTTTCCTGGTGCTAATCCATGACAGCATGCATGTGCTAGTAACCCTGCCTACTTCCACCCTCAGGACCAGTGCAAAGCTACGAAGAGGTAATGCCCACACAACAGCCCATTTCCTGTACAGAGCTAATAGGCAAGTCTTTGTCAAAAAGGTAATGGGGAGGTGGGCACTTCCATGGGGGCATGCAAAAAATGAAAAAGAAAAACCCAACTGTATACTGAGGAGAGTGTCTTACACAAGTAATTTAAAATGGTAGTAAGCGCCGCTTGCTGACTTGTACCTACAAGTAAGCTTATAATAAAGCTTACCTGTAGGTACGAGGAATATCTCCTAAATGTGCACCATTTAGAAGATACTCACTATTTCTGCAGCCAATTCATCGGTGCATGCACAGTGTACTGTGAAGCGATAGCATACTGAGCATGGCGTCCCTTCAATCGATGTGCCCCAATCAAGGCTCACATGCGCATGCACGGGAGTGACGTCATCACAGCTTGGTTATTCAAATGGCTGGATCCTGCAGACCAGGAAGGAAGACATTGCAGCTTGGTCATTCAAATGGCTTGATCCTGCAGACCCGGTAGGAAGACCAGGTGAAGATGGAAGCCCTGTCAGCTGTGAAAGCATTCCACTGTATGCTTTGTTTTATTGCTAGTATGTGATGCACATTAGAGCCCAGGAACCAATGTGGTATCTGCTGTGGTGGGGGGAAAACCTTTTTACAGCACCATAAAAGTGATTGGGTAGCTCTAGAATTTCCTGGATCACTTTTATTTGAAAGCTCTAAACCAGCTTCTTAAAAATCAGTGGCAAGCTTACACCTGCAACAGCAAATGTGAACTTGCTTTGACCCTTTGTATACTGTGCTGTTTATAAGCGTACATATATAAATAAGGGGTTAATCCTCAATGTAAATCCATGTCAATTACAATGTCATGCATTTTTTTTATCCATTGTCAATCATCATAACCATCCTTTGCCTGCTGATGGGTACATGCCGCACTTGCAGGACTGGCTGACAGATGCCTTGGCATGCAGCCTGGGTGGCCATAGAGGAAGGGTGGTGATATCTATCTCCTCCCAGTGGACACACCACCGGGAATCTGGAGGGGAACATCAATAATCAAATTTGGTCAATTATAGCACCTGGGAGTCTTGGCTGTCTCTTTAGACTACAGAATGGTTGGTCATTATGCTATAAGGATTTGAGAGTGAGAGCTGCAGCAAAGTTTTGAAAAAGACATTTGGGAGAGCCAACAACACTAACACTTCTCAGTTCACAAAAAAGTCTACAAGGTTTTGGAGCTGAGTGCATTTTTCGCAGGTCAATGGGCATTTTTTTTGCAATTGCATTGTCTTTAAAGGGATATATTTCCTTTAGGAAATGTACATGTATAGCAGAAATGTTCTTCATATGTGTTTTTTTTTTTTCTTTGAAAAATGCTTTATTGGAATTATTACACAGGAAGTCAGTTCTTTGAAGTTCTTAGCATATTACCTTAATTATCTTTAGTTACATTTGGACATTTTACATTTTCATCTGTTAATGCAGTTAAGTGTCCTTCCTTTAGTCATACTTAAATGTTTTAAGACAAGACAGGTAAGGAGTGAATAAGTTAGGCATTGTGCGATAACATCTGTGAAGCCTGTCCAAAGAACAATGCAAAACCCAGCTCCCTCTACCTACATGCTGAATTTCTGATAAACTGCTGTATATTGAACTAAGAACATATTTATCAGTTGAAGAATAATTAACTATAGAGCTGGGAAGCAAAGTACAGTACCTAGAGTAACCAGTCTGAATCCATCTAGTACTAGCATTGCTTTAGTAAAAAGAACTCTGATTGGTTGCAGTGTATTCTATGCTTTAGGCTGGCAATTAGACATGCGTGATTTGGTTTGTTTACATTCTTTTTTCGGATGAAAATTTCATTTTCAGAGATTCGGATGCAATAACATTTCCAAATAGACATAGAAACAAATGGCAACGAATCTGCAGCATCTGCGCTGCTGCTCTTCCAGTGTTCCTCTCAGACTCAGTCCCTTACTGCAAGCCAGCTGGCAACTACTGATCACATTGGAGTTCCAGCCCTTCTCTTCCCATTCATCAGCGGAGGCATAGCTGCGCCTGTGGAGGAAATTAATGTCTGACTCTGATATCTCGTGTCTGTGTGAGTGTGACCTGGCCGGCCAACCATCACATGTGCAATGTGTCAGTGAGTGATGACATCATCACAATCCCACAGACTTCTCTTCTAGTGCTTGCTGGGCCTGCTGATCTATGTTAGTGTTGGTGGTGTTGTGTTGTGTGTCGGATCTGTCACTGTGTGGGATTGCTCAGTTCAGATGTTCTGTGTGTCTGCTGTCACAGCATTTTATCTCCCCCCATTGCCTGGGGAATTCCAGCCTGGGATCTGTCAGAGTGTGGATCCATCATCCTCCACTCACTGCAACTGTCACTCTGCCACTACCAGCCACAGATACAGTCCATCCGTGACCCTTATTTTGTCTTTAATATTGGTGCTGGTAGCATCTTATGGCACTTATTTTTGCAAATTAAAAGACATTTTGCAGCTTAATGCTTTGTTGATTTATCATTTTCAGTTTTTTTTTACTTATTTTCTTTGGGGGGGGGGGGGGTAAAAGCAGCTGGTCTTGCCTAGGGTGCAAAATAGTCTAGCACAGGCCCTGAATACACCCCATAACTATAATTACTGCATCTAGTATTTTGTATGACCTCCATGATTTGTAAGGATAGCACCAAGTCCTCTAGGCATGGAATGAACAAGTTGGCAACAAATTGCAACATCTACCTTTTTCCATTCTTCAAGAATGACCTCTTTTAAAGCCTGGATGCTGAATGGAGAGTGATGCCCAGCGTGTCTCTTCAGAATTCCCAATAGGTGTTCGATTGGGTTCAAATCAGGACACATACCTGGCCACTGAATCAGTTTTACCCTGTTCTTCTTCAGAAATGCAACAGTGGACTTTGATGTGTGTTTTGGATCATTGTTATTTTGGAAACGTGCACAATGACCAAGGGTACGGATTGATGGTAGCATCTTCTCTTTCAATACAGAGCATTACATCAGTGAATTCATGATACTATCAATGAACTGCAGCTCCCCAACACCAGCAGCACCCATGCAGCCCCCCAGAAGGACACTGCCACCCCCATGTTTCACTGTAGGCACCATGCATTTTTCTTTGTACTCCTCTCCTTTGCGACACCATCAAGTTTTGAAGCCATCAGTTCCAGAAACATTTATCTTGGTCTCATCACTCCAGAGTACAGAGTTCCAGCAGTCTTCTTCTTTTTCAACATGGGCCCTGACAAATCTAGACAGGCTTTTTGTGTATGGGCTTTAGAAGAGGCTTCCTTCATGGATGACACCCATGCATGCCATTCCTCTGCAGTATATGCCGTATTGTGTCATGGGAAACATTCACCCCAGTTTCGCTTTCTACTTCTTTAACTAACTGCAGTGAACTTGCATGGCAATTTTCTTCAATCCTTTCATCAGAAGAGGCTCCTTGCAAGGTGTTAACTCCCGTGAACAGCCTAAAAGTCTCTGTGAGATGATTGCAGTTCCATCTTTGTTAAATGTTTGTATCACTTTTGCTACAGTATTCTGACTGATAAGTAAAGCTTTGCTGATCTTCTTGTAGCCTTCACCTTTCTTGTGTAAAGAAATAATTTTCTTTCTCAGGCCTTGTGACATTTTTTTTCCATGTTGTGCCATTGCTGCCAGTATGAAATTGGAAAGGGGTTTTATTTGTTAAGTAATCAACTGTCCGCTGGACATCTATTTAATGAATAATTGGACTCACCTGCAGTTGAATTCTTGTTAATTAGGATTTTGTTGTCTAAAATTTAGCTTTGCTCCTAAGACTTTCATTGGGGTGTAAGAAACAATTCAGTACTGTCCATGATACTTTTTTTATATTTGCACTAACATACAATTTTGAGGACAAGCTTTCAGGGAGTGTCCCCTTCTTCAAGGTCCAAGCAGTACTGTTACAAAGTTTTAGCAGAATGTTAGAAGATATGTGGGGATTGAGAAAAAAAAAAAAGCAAAAAGAAACACGAGCCTAGGGTTAGCCTAGAGATAAGAACAGCAAAGCAAAAAGCAAAGACTGTGGGGGGTGTGGACAGCACTCACAGAAGGAGTCATAAATATGTTGGATAATGACTGAGGAATCCCATGTTAATTTTTGCAACATGGTCTTGAATGAATTTGTTAGGAAAGATACTTTTTTTGTGTGTGTGTAAATTTACAAATCTTGTTTGAAATCAATGGCCTGCATTTGTGGGAGTATTTTATAGTATAGTGTCCCACAGAAAATATTGATTCTAAAAGAAAAGTGAAGGTGTTCTGACACAGCTGTTAGGATGTACTCATGCTGAATACTGTGTATGTGTGTGTGTATTGTGGGGTGAGCTCAGGTGGGGGATCTCCTTCCCTGGGAAAAAGGTAGACCGCACAGCAGGCTTTCTTAAAATCTGACTGGTTGTCAGCTTTATTTACAGGTTTGCAAAAATGTCAAAACAAACAAAACAGTAAAATAAACCCTTGCCATCCAGGCACTAACTAAACATGGAACTTTCCTCTCTCAGAGGTGAAGGGCTTCTCCCTGTCACCCAAAAACAAAACAACCGCAAACCTTTTCTTGTAGGTATAGTGCACACACAGCTCTCTCAGAATACCTCTCTGAGTCCCAGGCCACGAGCAACTCTTTGCTCCAGCCCTGTCTTATTTATACCACCTGTTGGTGGACATCAGGGGAGCCCAAACTCTGGTCCGGAACCACCTCTGCCATTGTGGCCCCAAAAACCCGGAGTGGACTCCACCTTACACCTCACCGTATGATCTCATGCGAGGTGACACATATCGTCCATCCAACACTTTGCCGTTCATACTGTCACAGTATGTATGTACTGTATATATATATATATATATATATATATATATATATATTAATATTATTATTTATTTATTATTTTTTAATTTATATATTAATATTATATAAATATTATATAAATAATATTAATAATAAATAAAATATAGAAGATGAGGTTACACTGAGATAATATATGCACAACATATTAGGTGTTAAAATTGTGCTTGCCTGTTAAACAGCGACATACTTCAGTACCCAAAATTGTCCATAGGAGATGCTTTAAAAGTCCTTTAAAAAGGTCATAATTTGAAGGTTAAGCATGAATAATGGTCCTAGAATTATTGCTCTCACTCTGGTCTGCATGGTGATATGTAACATGCATTGTGTAATCACTGTTTTCATATGTAGGCATCCCCCGATGTGTGCATTTACAGTTAGGAACAGAAGTATTTGAACATCCTGCGATTTTGCAAGTTCTCCCACTTAGAAATCATAGAGGGGTCTGAAATTCACATTGTAGGTGCATTCCCACTCTGAGAGACAGAATTTTAAAAAAAATTCAGGAAATCACATTGTATGATTTTTAAAGAATGTATTTGTCTTGCACTGCTGAACATAAGTATTTGAACACCGGAGAAATTCAGTGTTAATATTTGGTACAGAAGCCTTTGTTTGCAATTACAGAGGTCAAATGTTTCCTGTATTTCTTGACCAGGTTTGCACACACTGCAACAGGGATTTCGGCCCACTCCTCCACACAGATCTCCTCTAGATCTGTCAGGTTTTGGGGCTGTCACTGAGCAACATGGAGTTTCAGCTCCCTCCAAAGATGTTCTATTGGGTTTAGGTCTAGAGACTGGCTAGGCCACTCAAGAACCTTGATATGCTTCTTACAGAGCCACTCCTTGGTTATCCTGGCTGTGTGCCTCGGGTCGTTGTCATGTTGGAAGACCCAACCATGACCCATCTTCAATGCTCTGACTGAGGGAAGGAGGTTGTTGCTCAAAATCTCACAATAAATGGCCCCATTCATCCTTTTCTTAATACAGTGCAGTCGTCCTGTCCCCTTCACAGAAAAGCACCCCCAAAACATGATGTTACCACCCCCATGCTTCACAGTAGGGATTGTGTTCTTGGGATGCAACTCATCCTTCTTTTTCCTCCAAACACAACGAGTGAAGTTTAGACCAAAAAGTTCTACTTTGGTCTCATCTGACCACATGACTTTCTCCCATGCCTCCTCTGGATCATCCAGCTGTTCACTGGCAAACTTCAGACGGGCCTGGACATGTGATGACTTGAGCAGGGCAACCTTCCGTGCAATGCATGAGTTGAAACCATGACAGCGTAGTGTTCTACTGACAGTGACCTTTGAAACTGTGGTCCCAGCTCTCTTCATGTCATTGACCAGCTCTTCCCTTGTAGTTCTGGGCTGATTCCTCACCTTTCTTATCAGTGATACCCCACGAGGTGAGATCTTGCATGGAGCCCCAGTCCGAGGGAGACTGACAGTCGTCTTTAGCCTCCTCCATTTTCTAACAATTGCTCCAACAGTTGATCTATTTTCACCAAGCTGCTTGGTAATTGCCCCATAGCCCTTTCTAGCCTTGTGGAGGTCCACAATTTTGTCTCTGGTGTCTTTTGGTCTTGCCCATGGTAGTAGTTAGCGTCTGACTGACTGTGGGGTGGATAGGTGTCTTTAAAGAGCTCAGACAGGTGCTACTAAGTTAGATTAATGAGTGGAGTAGAGGAGGACTTTTTAAAGGCACAGTAACAGGTCTTTGAGAGCCAGAATTCTTGCTGTTTCTTAGATGTTCAAACACTTATGTTCAGCAGTGCAAGACAAATAAATTCTTTAAAAATCATTCAATGTGATTTCCTATATTTTTTTTTTAAATTCTGTCTCTCAGAGTGGGAATGCACCTACAATGTGAATTTCAGACCCCTCCATGATTTCTAAGTGGGAGAACTTGCAAAATCGCAGGGTGTTCAAATACGTCTGTTCCTCACTGTACATACATGCGTGTTTGCATGGGGGCAGGGCTCATTATTTTGGGGCACCTTTAGTTTTTTTTACACTTTGTTTTACTTAACCTTATTGCTATCACATAGTGGCCAATAGCCCCTTATGTGATAACATTTATAGCAACAGGTTTTCTTTAGTGGGACATCAGATGTCTATTATACTTTTGATATCTCCCATGCACTACACTGAAGATACCAGAAGACAAATCTTGGTCCATAACCTTTTTTCCACATTGTTCTCTGTTTGGCAAGGTACCAATACATTTTTGAGAGCATGTACCTGGTGTGATTCCGAAGTGTTATTGATTTTGAAGGGAAGTCCCCCTTAATATTTCTTCTAAATGTTTATCCACTGGATAAAGGTCTAGTATGGATTTTAAAGGGGGCACAGGCTGTTTTTTTTATTCTAAAATGACAATGCACATTGTTTAAAACTGTTTACAGTGTCTTTAAATAAAAAAAACAGCATGGGGTTTCCCTTAAAATCTATACCAGATTCTTTTCAAGGCATGTAGCTTGACTGGCTAGGAAAGAGAGGGGCAAAGATTGTGCATCCCCACCACCCCACCACCTCAACCATTCCAGAACACATGCCTTTCAGTATTGGGAGGATACCTTGCGAGGGGTGAGGGGGAGCACAAAGCCTCCCCCCACACAAAATACATTGTCCTTATTTTGCTATTGAAAAGAACCTCACTCTCCCATCCCTTTCCCAATGGATGTGGGGGTCTGGGGGAAACTTAGACCAATGCTTATCCTTATGTAAATTTAACTGCATCAGATTTTTATTTCACAAAGAAGTTGATGAACATGTAATAATAATTAGTCTTATAGTTTGATGCCCACATGTAAAAAAAAAAAGTTTACATTTCCAGACTTTATTAAACGTATTGTCTTTTTTATCTATTTTGAAATATAATGACTTCAAATAGTTAATAACTATATACCTTTGCTCCAAAGCACATATCTCCAAATGTTCTCCAATGGATGGGTAGGAAACATAAATGTCATCAGAAATATGATTTATTGAGAGTGGCTGTGTTAAAATGAAGACAGTTTGGGAATTTGTTTTTAAAACAAATGCAGCACAACTTGCCTTTGTTGTTGCCAAGTTACAAGAGGCTGCTTGCTTGTTCCAGAAGACTATACCAACATATTGTAAACTGATGCTCACATTCTGTCTATATGAATATGTACAGTATATAGTTGTTAATTTTTAATCAGGTACAAAATTCCAGGTATAAGGTAAAGTGAGGGAACAATGTCATAATTGTACTAATGTTGGGTGTGGCCTGAAAGAACATGGTTACATTTAGTTTACTCTCAATACATACAAGTCTACTCTCAATACATAGGGTACACATTTACTGCAGTCCTTGTACCCACAAAATACTTTTTAACTTTTTAACTCAAATTTCAAAGACACACATAAACTTAAAGAATTATCTGTAAAATAAAACAGAATGTGGATAAAAAGTTGAGACTATGTCTGAAGCTACCTTAAAGAAAAACTTTGTTTTCTGCACCCCATTTCCTATGTTATCATGCATAGTCGAGTCGCTTAGCCTTGTTTCCATGTCCTATGCATTGAAACAT